TGGGGGGTCTCACGGTGCCCGGGCTGGAGGCGGCGGGTGGGGTGGGGTGGGGGGTCTCACGGTGCCCGGGCTGGAGGCGGCGGGTGGGGTGGGGTGGGGGGTCTCACGGTGCCCGGGCTGGAGGCGGCGGGTGGGGTGGGGTGGGGGGTCTCACGGTGCCCGGGCTGGAGGCGGCGGGTGGGGTGGGGTGGGGGGTCTCACGGTGCCCGGGCTGGAGGCGGCGGGTGGGGTGGGGTGGGGGGTCTCACGGTGCCCGGGCTGGAGGCGGCGGGTGGGGTGGGGTGGGGGGTCTCACGGTGCCCGGGCTGGAGGCGGCGGGTGGGGTGGGGTGGGGGGTCTCACGGTGCCCGGGCTGGAGGCGGCGGGTGGGGTGGGGAGTCTCACGGTGCCCGGGAGTGGGTGAGAAGCGGACCCAGCGCTGGGACATGTACCTGTTTGAACAGCAGACTGTGAGAGGGGAAAGCAGCAGATTCCCAGGGGAAAAGTGACAGGGTCACTTTGGCTGGAGCAGGGGGTCGGAGGGAAGCTGACTGCCCCATGGCGGAGATGGTGATAAAATGTTATATAATGTACAGCTTTATAAACCGAGCTCCCGGTCTGAGGTTGCTAATCTGATGGTACCTGCCCTGAATTTATTGGCGTCTCTGTGCTCCAACTGAACTGACAGTAAAGCGGCGCAGGGAGCTGTATCGACTTCAATCAATGAATGGTCCTTTTAAGTTTACAAAACGAACTAACCTGTCCGCTCCGAGACAGTAAGAACTGCAGATGCTGGAGTCAGAGATAGCAGCGTGGAGCTGGAGGAACACACCAGGCCAGGCAGCATCAGAGGGGCAGGGTCGGGTCTCTTCTTCAGAAAAAGGGTCCCGACCCGAAACGTCGACTTTCCTGCTTCCCTGATGCTGCCTGACCTGCTGCGTTCCTCCAGCTCCGCGGTGTTGTAACCTACCTACTTACTGTGTGTAGCTCATTCGTGAACAGTGCCTGTGAAACTAATTGGACAACTTCCATCATCCGCCTTCAGGAGAGGGTGGCAACATTAATTGGCTTGCTATTTTGAGTTCTATATAATACCAGTGTGGGAGTGAAACTGTTCTGCTGCTTGTAAACCTGCCGTGTGAGCGTGTGCGTGTCACTGTGATGGATCTCCTAGCTGTTTCTGCCAGTGATATCCGTCCCAGGTTGTTTGTTGCAGCTGGTCAGCCTGCTGGGATTTATCTACTGGCTGAGTGGGGACCTGGCTTGATTTCAGGCTACATTAACCTGCAGGAGACCTGTGAGCTGGGTCCACGTGCCAGCCAGAATATCAAAATAGTTATTGGAAAACCAAATTGGTAATGACTTGAACCTTTGAATCCTGAGTAACCGATTCATGATTATAGTCCACTGACAGGAAAACCATTGCATTTTTGTATTGGATTTATATTTCCAGGCCTTTTTAATACAACTACCTCCTTCCCCTTTCTCCCATCTTCATCTATGTTCACCTCTTTCTCTCCTGCTGGTTTCCTCCTATTCTGTAAGCACTGTCTCCTCTGTTTTGCTTCTGTTTTCTGTATTTCCCCTGCTTTTCATTCATCTCTCCCTCTCTCTCCACCTCCACTCGTGCTGCACTTTTTTTTAAATGAAGTTCAAGTTTTTAAAGGGTCTCTGAAATTTTGAGAAGTTGAAAGCCTCAGATATGCCATTTTGCCGAGGATGCTTCTCCCAATAGTGCCTGCGATCCTTGGTGATCTTACAGCTGGATTGACATTCACATTTCTGATATATGTCTCAGGCCTGGGCTAGTAATTGGAGCGAATGTACGAGTGTTTGTTTTCAGCTCGTTGGTGAGCTGGGTCAAGGCATTGTTTCTCCTTCACACTTTCTCCACTTGCAGATTGTGGAGGCGGTACTTGACAAACTGGGGCTACCTATTGGATCCAAGTCCTCGCCAAATAGCAATCTTGAGTTAGTCCGGATAGCAAGGAAAAGCATTTCAACCGTGAACTGTTACTGCTGATTCCATCCACGCCACACTTGAGTCTCCGAAAGGAGATAAGCAGGATCTCTATCCCTTGTTGCCAGTTCCATCCCAAACAAACGAAAATGGAAGACGTGCATTTATGCAGTAGTTTCATGACCTGAGGACACTGTAGTTTTGGAGTGTACTTATTTATTGTAACACAGGAAACAGTGATTTGCACATATGAACCCAGAAATGACAATGTAATACTGACGAGATAATCAATTTATGATGTTATTTCGAGGACTAAATATGGGCCAGAACGCCAGGGAGCAGTCCCCAGTTTTTCTTCGGGTAGTTCTGCAGGATCTTGTGCATCTAGCAACGAGAGCATTGCCTTGGTCTAATATCTTGTCTGCAAATCGGAATGATTGTAAATGTGTGTTGTAAGTGGATGGGGGGAGGGTTTGCAAATCAGGCTGCGAAATCTCTTACCTGTTTTGAACACTGACCAAAGTTAAAACTCTTCCACCCCTGTGTTTAATAGCTGATTAATTTGCCTTTTCTAGGCAATCTGTAGGGGAAGCAGTCGTTTAAGTGGCTGACTGGTAAGATGCCAGAGGGATCTGCTTGTAACTGGAGACAGAGGGAACAGCCGCTGTACGTCAGAGCCTGAGGGACGTCATTGTAGCCGCGTATCCCCATCGCAAAAGGCTCGATCCTCGTCGCTATTCTCAGCGGGATGGCACACATTACATTAACGTAGCTATTTCTGTACTCCTCAGCCTGATTAGCTGTTGGCCTTTGCAGAGAGGAATGGGTATAGGTTCTTTTTTTTTGATAAAGCAAGTAATAACTCCTCGAGTACAAGAAGCTGATTAAGTTTGCGTGAACAAATCCGGTCCCGGAGACCGAGTTTCAATCCAAAACTCTGGATATGAATCCTCTCCCACCCCCACCCTCCCCCATGGCCCTCCAATGAGCTTGTGACTTTGCCGCAGGAATTTGTTTCTGTGCACATGACAGTTTTCCAATCATGATTCTTGCTGTGAAATGTCGTTTATCAGCCTGGACTAGGACAGAGCCTGTATTCTACCTGACTGGCTGCTCATTTGCCTCAATCACCTACTCCCTCAAATTTCTACCTAATTCTGCCCCCAGGTTGTTCCTGTACAATCTGATTTCCCCAGGGTGCCGCTTCCCCTCTCTGTGCAGCTGGGTTCAATATCACAAGTAAAAAGATGCTGGAAATGCTCATTAGGCAACATCTGGAGAAATAATTGGTTAGTGGTTCAGGTCAGTGACCTCTAAGAATAACACTATGCCCCTTTTTCCATAAACTTTGTTTATTGAAAGTGGAAGAGAATGTGGAATTCATTACTAAAGGGAGTCTCTGCGATGAATAACAAGTGCACTCAGAGGAAGTTCTGTTAACTGGTGATTGAGAAAGGACTAAAGGGATGATAATTGATAGGGTGCAATGACTGAGCAGAGAGATTCCTACAGGAATGTGTTTTCAAAGATATCATTTTAAATTGGAAATAAAATAGACTTTTCTCAATGACGGTTTTGGATATTTTATTGCTGTATAAAGGGGAGTGCTAATACTGTAATAGCAAAATAATCCCAGTTTGGATAAAAACTGAATGAAATGCAAAAGGAGCTGCAGGAAGATTAACTGTGTGCTTGTTTTTACTTTTGATTCATGTTGGAAATTGGGTTTGTAGTACTAGTGGGTGCGAGTAGAGAATGATTACTGCAAGATTTATTTGCGACTAAATCTGGAGACCTTGCGCATAGTGTATTCGCCTCTGAGCTGAGTGCTTCCTGGGTCAAGATCCACCACAGGAAGGTGTGTTGTAATGTGGCCTAACAGGTTGAGGATCAACTTGCAACCTCTTCCAGCATTTGCCAATGGTTGGTATTAGGAACAGGAGAGGATCTTGGTGAGCCACTTACAGAAGGCAGTAGTAAACTACTCTAGTACCTTGACCAGTGTAACCATGTGTAAACACACAAGTCCATGGGCATCAGTGCCCTGTAAAGCCATAGTACCTGAAGTGAGAGAATGAGACTGAAGAAATCTTACAGACTTAAAACAGGTAAATCTCCAAATGGATTGGATGTAAAATGTAGCTAGATCCATGGTTTTGGTTTAATGTCTCATGCAAACATTGGGGCCCCTCTGACAATGAAGAAACCCCCACCCCCCCAACTCTGAACTATGGCTTGATCTGTACATCTTGTGTAACCCAGTGTTCTGTGCAGCTTTATGTTCACTTGGGAATAGGGATAAGGGTTAACCCATGCTTTTTAATTGCAAAAAGACCCTTCATTGTCAATGGCTCAAGTTAACTCGCACAAAGTGTCCACTCAACAACAATTTTCACAGCACTGAAGTTAGCGGAGTATGAAAGAACAGTGATACGGCTTGCATTTTGTTGAACAGAAAGTTATAGATGGAATTAAAGGGAGCAGAGACAATACAGCCTTCTGCCGGGAATAGCTTCCTTAGAAATTTCAGTAATTTCTCAGTCTTTGGTTCCTGGGCCACTGATTCCAATACCTCCTGCATTTCCCAACACTGCGAAGCTGATGCTTTGGAGTCTTGGGAACTGGTTCGGAGTGATTGGTACTGGGCTGCATTCTCAACTGATGGTCAGCTATATGGTTGTACAAGTTATTGACACTTCAAATAGATGACTTCTGTTGGGATTTTTAAAATCATTTTATGTAATGTTGGTGTCTGTGACAGAGCTCAGCATTGTTTTGGCCATCCAGTTAAGAATCATGTCACTGTGGGTCTGGACTCACCAGCAAAGGATAGCAGGTTTCGACCCAAAAGAACATTAGGAACTCGATTAGTTTTTAAAGACAATAGGTAGCGTCCACAATTACTAACTAGTTTTCAACTCCAGATTCTTAATTAATTGAATTTAAATTTCAACTGGCGTAGAGGAATTTGAACCTATGTTCTCTGGGTTACTAACATCAGTGAGATCACCATTATGTCACCATCTCCCTTTTCCTGGCACTATCCTTTCCAGTTTGTTGCATCATGGATTGTGTATCACTGCAGAGGCCTGAGCACACAGTCTAGGCTGTCACACTCAGTGCAATACTGAGGAAGTGCTGCATGGTGAGAGACGTTTTAACATATTTTAATCGCCTGATCAGCTGTATTATGACATACCTGTAGACCAGGTGGGACTTGAACTGAGGCCTCTCAGCTCATAAGTAGGGACACTGCCACTGTGTCACTTTTTAAGGTGGTATCAATCAATGAAAGATTCCATCTCTCAAGTGGAATCTTTGATGTCCACAGCATACAGAATGAATGCAGAGTTCTTTATCAACCTTCTGGCAATACCACGAGAAACTGGTCTTTCATCTTGCTGTTCTTTGTTAGATGTTAGTATATACAAAAATCTAGCAAAATAATGCTTGGATTTCAGAAATAACCTGAGAAGCAATTTTGGGCATTGTTCAGTGATGTGATCATTACTGTAAATCTCTTTAACAGCAGAATTGCTGAATAATGACATCCAGTATGAGTTAATACACAAGGAGCAGGAGGAAAGATTGCTTGGAGACAGTGTTATACCTTCCTGGGCAGAGCTAGTGCCATTGGACAATGAGAGGAGTCCGACCCTGTTTTTTAAACTCATTTATAGATGAGGGTGTCGCTGACTAGTCCAGCATTTATTTCCCATCCCTAATTGTCCAGAGGGCAATTAAGAGTCAACCACATTTCTGTGGGTCTGGAGTCACATGTAGCCAGACCAGGTAAGGATGGCAGTTTCCTTTCCTAAAGGACATGAATGAACCAGATGGGATTTTCCAACAATTGGCAATGAATTCATGGTCATCACTAGACTGTTAGTTCCAGATATTTATTGAATACAAATTCCACCACCTGCCGGGATTCGAACCCGAGTCCCCAGAACATTACCGGGTCTCTGGATTAACAGGCCAGTGATAATACCACTAGGCTATCACCTCCCTGGTTTGGCTTCATGTGGGTGTTAGCGTTTTTTTTTTGGTGGAGGTTTAGGTGCAATTCTCCAAATTCCATGATGAAGCATGTTCAGTGGAGTTTCCTTTCTGTGGCTGGAGCTGGGATGAGTGACGTTGCTCATGTTTACTCCAGCTTTGCTCAAGGTTTTAATTTCAACTAATTCAAAGTCCAAACCAACTCTGGGAAATGATTTATATATGAATACTTAGAACACTTATTTAATTCTTTTTCTCCTTTTTTGTTTTTCAGAATTCTAAAACCAGCCACGGCCTTGTGGGGCTTCGAAATCTGGGCAACACAGTGAGTTTCATTTTTCAGAAAAGAACCGATTACATGGACTTGTAGATAATCTTCATGAACTGGCATTTAGTTAAGAACGAGTGTCGGAAGTATTTTAATTTGGTTTAAAGGGGCTTTGTGCCCAGTGGGGTGAATGTTATTGCGTGGGGTAGGACAAGGTCAACTGACCAATAGCTAACTGTCTTTACCTTCTCCCAAATAGTCATGAGAACAGAGTGTATGTGCTGATGGGCTATTGAACAATGGGGGCATCACAACCCAAATGATCTTGTCCTGAACTGAAATATCCTTGTTTTCTAGCCAGGGTTACTGAAGTGATCAGGAACAGGAGCTTTGGTTGATTTCTTTCCCCTCTCATGGTCCCCTGGGACAGAGAATTGTCCATGGACCCACACTGTGCTCCCAAGCTGAGATCAGTTAACAAATGGAATGAAGCTCATTGTATCAGAAATTAATGTGTGGGTTGACTATTCTCTCAGCAGTGCTGTTGATTTAATAAAAAAAGACAGTAAAAGTACAAGAGAGCTTGTGAATCAAACCCAAAACACACTCTGTTGGTTAAACAATTGATGGGTGTTCCTGAGTTGTGGGAATAGCGGCATGGGATTTGCAAACATACACCTGTATTCAAGACACCTGCCTTTACATTTGTTTTATAAACAAGCTCAATGTGTTTAAATAAAGCAAAGCCTCCGAGCAAGCGGGTAACTAAAGAAAGGGTAAGACCCCTTTAAAGATCAAGGAGCTCGTCTTTGTGTTGAACCCCAGGAGATGGGAGAGTTACTAAATGAATGTTTTGCATCAGTTTTTACTGTGGATAAAGAAATGGAGTCTAGAGAACACAGAGAAATAAACTTTGATGTTTTAAAAACAGTTCACATTACAGAAGAGGAAGCCTTAGAGAAGATAAAGGTGGATAAATCTCTGGGACCTGGTCTAATGTTTCTCAGAAAGTTGTGGGAAGTAAGAGAGGAAATTATGAGACCCCTTGCAAAAATGTTTGCATCATCTATAATTATGGGTGAGGTGCCTGATGACTGGAGGGTGGTAAATGCTGTACCTTTGCTTAAGAAAGGTTGTAAGGAGAGACCTGGGAACTATAGACCTGTGAGTCTGACATCGGTTGTTGGTAAATTGTTGGAGGGGATTATAAAAGATAGGATTTATGGATCAAGAGGATGGTGTGAGAGAGAGGGACATGTTCCCAAGCCCTGGAATTTATTCCAGCAGTGTTGTTCTCTTGTTCTGCCTCCATAATTCAACAACGGTCTGCCCTGTAGAGTTTGCAAAACAACACTTTCGTCACTGTAACTGGGTACATGACAATAATAAATCAAATCATATCAACCGCAGACCATAAATGAAGGCTTTTTCTTTTTAAGAATTGTCAGTCTGTCCATGAGAGTGAAAACGGCCCTGGCCATGGTAGTTTACAGGAGAATTACAGTGTATTGTTGTGTGAAATAGTCAGGAATCTCCAATTTCTACTGCACATGAGCACTGGTCTCTGTTAATTCCATTCCTGCCAGTCTCTGAATTTCACCTGATTCCCTTGTCTCCTTTTCCTGAAGTGTGGTCATTAACATTGCTGTTTCTGCATTTTTTTTTTGTTGCTGTAGTGTTTCATGAACTCCATCCTGCAGTGTTTGAGCAACACCCGGGAGCTGAGAGATTATTGTATTCAGAACACCTACCGGCGAGATCTGAACAACCGGAGCCGCGCCAACACCGCACTAATGGAGGGTCAGTGCTCACATCTTATCAACCAAGGGCTGTGGCCAGGTCTTTAAATCTCTGCCAGTGAAACCAGGGCTTCCACCCCCACCTCTGGCACCCCCACCACCCCCGGCACTACCACCTCTAAATACAATACAATGTTTTTTATTTGTGTGGAATCTCTCAAATATATCACCATATTTACATCACCTGGAATACCATTTTCATCAAATGGAACTAATCGTTCACTATTGTTATTGTCTAATTATCTAGTAGGGTCTGGCAGGGACGCCTGAGACCAAATGGAACTAGGAAACAGATGATGACGTGTTGATTAAGGGATAACTGGGTGAGAATTCTGGGCTTGTGTGTGGGTGAAGAACAAGTCTCTGACTAGCAAAGTATATGCCTGGATTATGTCTGACCAACCATGATCACAGGCATTAGCTACAAAGGCAGTGTAATTAATAATGTGCTGAATGATTTTATGATACTGAAAATGGTTTGTGTTCCTCAGCCTGTATTGCCCAATCTCACTGAAGTTCATTTGTCAATTTTCTCTCCTTTAGAATTTGCAAAGCTTCTCCAGGCCATGTGGACATCCTCCAGCAATGACCCCATCAGTCCCTCAGAGTTCAAAACACAAATTCAAAAATATGCTCCACGATTTGTCGGATACAAGTAAGTGATGTCCAAAATATAAACAGTGATTGAGGCTGAAACCTGATGGCATAGTTCCTGGTACCAACAGAAATGTCTGAGATTCATGAAACTTATTCCCTCCCTTATATTGAAGGTTCTGGATAATGTTGAAATCAATTTATAAATGCAAGGTTATCAGTTAGCCATTACCTGACCTTTTGAAATTTTGTTGCTCACTTAGCCAACAGGATGCCCAGGAGTTTTTGCGTTTCTTGCTGGATGGGCTTCATAATGAAGTGAACAGAGTGTCAGTGCGTTCCAAGGCTATAGTGGAGGACTTAGACCACCTTCCGTAAGTGTTGACAATCTGCCAGTATTTATCGGTTAACTCTGTTGGAGTTGCTCAAGCAGTTTGGTTTGACTGTAGTGTTTTCATTCAATGCAAGATTCAAATTTACAGTCTTTTTTTTTCTCTCTGGCTGTGAGAGATACAGACTTTTATTTCCCTGAAGTTTCAGGTTTCTTAGAATTTACGTCACAGGAACAAATTATTTGTTTATGATGGTGTTAATATTTCACATGAGCTTCTTCCCACACTCCTTCAATAAACTCTATCAGCATATCCTTCTGTTCCTTTGAGATTATTTAGCCTTCTCTTTTGAAAGTGAGCTTCAATAAATTATCATCAAATATTGCTTAGAGCAACTCTTTCTATCATCATAGAATCCCTACGGTGCAGAAACAGGCCATTTGGCCCGACAAACCCACACTGACTCTCCGAAGAACATCCCATCCAGACCCATCTCCCTACTCTATCCTTGTAACCCTGCATTTCCCATGGCTAATCCACCTAACCTACACATCCCTGAACAGTCTGGGCAATTTAGCATGGCCAACCCACCTAATCTGCACATTTTTGGACTGTGGGAGGAAACCCACGCAGACACGGGAAGAACATGCAAACTCCACACAGACAGCCGTCCATGGGTGGAATCAAATCTGGGCCCCCTGGTGCTGTGAGGCAGCAGTGCTAATCACTGAGCCACTGTGCTGCCCAAAATTTATCCCATAGCTTAGCTGAACCTGTATCCAATCATTGCCCAACATTTTTTTAGAGTTAACTTTGTGATTTTTAAGCTGCTGATTGAAATGACTGTGGTGGTCTTCTGCCTTTGTAACCCTGATATTATAGCTAATGTGCGGTAAATGGTTTTGTAGAAATGTGGAACAGAGGTGTTGCCTGAATCTAACTCTCACCTATCCATTCTGCTGTATATCACCGCTCCTGACTGAGTTTGTGTGGCTCCTTGTTAACATGAAAAAGCCATTTTCAAATTCAGCATTAGAAAGTATTTCCAATTGATTAACACCTTAGGAAAATCTCTAATGCAGATGGTGTTGTGATATAGAATAAGCCGAAATCATTTTTATGTTGAAAGCTGTATGTGTCTTGTGATGGCACTCGATTTAAATTTTCATCTCCACTTCTAGGGATGATGAGAAGGGGAGAAGAATGTGGAAGAAATACCTGGAGAGAGAGGACAGTCGGATCGTAGGTGAGCACAATACATTTGGGTTTTCACATGAATGCGACGGTGTGCAATTGTGCTGATAAGAATGACAATGCCAAGGAAAATTTGAGCATACCTAATTTATTTTTCCAGATGAATTACAACCGAACTAATCTTTCTTCCTTCCTTTCTTTCAGATCATTTTGTGGGCCAGTTGAAAAGTTCCCTGACCTGCAGTGAATGTGGCTACTGTTCCACAGTGTTTGACCCCTTCTGGGACTTGTCACTGCCCATCTCAAAGGTACGCTACCAAAGTTACAGCTGATACCATCTTCATTGTTTCTGTGTTTCTACAGTGTAAATGCCAACTCCTCTAACAATGTATGTTTCAATGAGGTGTCATTTATTCTTCTTAATTCCAATGAGGGCAGGGCCCAATCTACCTCTATCAACCTCTCTTCATACAACAATCCCTACCTAGCTCATATCAGCCTAGTGAGTCTTTGATAGACTACCTCCAATGCCAGTGCATCTTTGTTTAGATAAGGCCCCCCAAAACACTTCATTATTTCAGCTGTGGTCTAACTATTACCTTGTATAGTTTTTGCAAAGCCTTCCTATTTTCACACCGATTCCATTTGGGATAAAGACTAATGGCCCATTTGCCTTCCCTATTACCTGTTAAACTTGGATGCTAGCTTATTATGATTCATGAACAAGGACTCCTAAATTCCTCTGTTCTGTAGCTTTCTGCATTCTTCCTCTGTTTAAATAATTTTCATCATCTCTATTCTTCCTGCCAAAGTGCATAAATTCTCCCTACATTATATTCCATTTGCCCAAGTTATTGCCTGCTCACTTAACCCATCTATACCCCTCTACATAAAAACTGAAAGAACTGCGGATGCTGTTAAACATGAACAAAAGCAGAAGTTGCTGGAAAAGCTCAGCAGATCTGGCAGCATCTGAAGAAAAATCAGAGTTAACATTTCGGGTTCAGTGACCCTTCCTCAGTAATAGGTCACCATCCTGAAAATGCATCCTCCCATTCCCAACTCTGTCATCTATTAGTTAACCAATCCTCTCTCTATTATCTTATTGAATGGCAGGGCTGGCTTGAGCAGTCAAATAGCCAACTCCTCTTTCCTAAAGTGTTGTGTTGGACTGGAGTAACACATCAGTCAGAGCAGGTCAGGAGCACATGTTCCTTTCTGTATAATGCATCAGCTGGGTATTTATGACATTGAGCAGATTCATGCACACTTGTATTTGGACCAACTTTTATTTAGAATTTCTGTAATAAACCTGTTGGGATTTAAACTTGCTTGTCCTGGATTTTTTAGTTATCATTTCTGAATTCTAATAATATAAACTATGTGCTGACCATCTCTGGTATGATGTAAAGATGTGCAGTATCCATGTCTGGAGATGGGAATGATCTCAAGGTGTAGGAGATTTTAATTTGTGGGTTTGTGTCATTAGTGAGGATGCTGGAAGAAATCCTTGTGTCCTAATACCAGCAAACCCCTTCCTCATATACAGCCAAACACAGAACTAGGGTCACAGTTCAATAGTAACATATCAGTGGAAACAGAAAAAGTGAACGTTTCTTCAGAATTGATTCTTTCTTAACCTGGAAGAGTCCGTGATTTGAAATGTTTCCTCTGTTTCTCTGTAAACAGTTACTGCAAGACTTGCTAAATATTTCCAGCATTTTCTGTTTTTTCACTTCAGATTCCCAGCATTCATTGTATTTTTCTTTTGTTGATCTAATGATCTTGTTTGATGGAGCTTGCAGATCTATTTTAACTGGAGGAATGTCTTTAACCTTGTTTTATTGTGGCAGAGCTGCCAACTCCTTAAGTATTAAAGGGAATAATGCTGTTATGACTAAGTCTTTTTCTGTTGCCATCACAACATTTCTTTTAATAGCATGCTCCAGTACCAGTGGCTGTGCTGGTTTGCCAGTTTTTTTGTATTTAGTTTAAAGCATTTTGGGCATGTTCCTTGCGTAGCAATTGAAATTAGAGGAGAAGCTCTGATGCAAAGGCCAGTGTGATCCAACTTTCTCCATACCCAATTCAATCTCAAAAAAACAAGTTGGTTTCCAAAAACAAGGTGTTATTGTTACCAACAGTTTAAATGTTCAGTGTTATTTATTAAATCCTGCCTGTTACTGCTTTTACAGAAAGGTTATGGTGAAGTTTCGCTAATGGATTGTATAAGACTCTTCACGAAAGAGGATGTTCTGGATGGAGATGAAAAGCCAGTAAGTTGATGTTTACTGTTTTGATGGTCACTTGAGAGATCTGTCACTACTTACTGTGTGGAAAATGCTTATTACTAATGAAAATGGTGGCAGTTTTAAAAATTCTTTCTCAGAAAGTGGTCGTTATTAACAAGCCTGGAATTTATTTTTTTTCCTGGTTGTTATGAGAAGAGTTATGAACTGCAGTCGATTTTGGTGTAGGTAGACCCAAGGTACTGTTAGAGAGGGAGTTCTCAGATATCGACCGTCAGTGAGTGAATAGCGATTTATAGTGTCAACATAAGATGGTGAGCAGCTTGGAGGAGAACTTAGTTTGTGCTCCCATGTGTTTGTTGCCTTTCTATGTGGTAGAGGTCACAGGTTTCCAAGGTGTTGTCTAGGGAGACATGGTGAATTGCTGCAGGGTACTGATAAAGGTAATGGTAATATAATTGACCATTGAGGGAAGGTTGTTAGATTCTCTCTTGTTTGAGGTGGTCATTTCCTAGCACTTAGGCAAATGTCACTTGCCACATATCCACTCAAGCCTGGATGTTGACATATGGACACAAGCTACTTAGGTTACTGAAGTTGTGAATGGTACTGAATGTTGTGAAATTCCGTGAATATCCCCAAGCCTGCCTTTATGATGGAGCATTCATAAACTTGGCCATAATACATTCACTTTCCTCATTCAAATCATTAATATATTGTAAATGTTCATGGCCGTAGCACTGATCCCTGTGGCACAGGGCAGCATAGTGGCTCAGTGGTTAGCACTGTTGTCTCTCAGTCCCACAGACCTGGGTTCGATTCCACCCTCGGGCGACTATCTGTCTGTGTGGAGTTTGCACATTCTCCCTGTGACTGCGTGGGTTTCCTCCGGGTGCTCTGGTTTCCGCCCACAGTCCAAAGGTGTACAGGTTAGGTGGATTGGTCATGCTAAATTACCCAATAGTGTCCAGGGATGTGCAGGTGAGGTGAATTAGCCACGGGAAATGCAGGGTTACAGGAATAGAGTAGGGGGTTGGGTCTGGGTGGAATGCTGTTTGGAGGATTAGTGTGTACTTGATGGGCTGAATGGCCTGAATCCACACTGTAGGGATTCTGTTCTGTTCAAGATGATCAGAATGATTCCTTGAGGGAAACCCCCAACATTTGTAGACTGTAGAATGAAGTTGCAAATAAAGTTTGCTGAATATCTTGATGGGTGAGACAAGAATGGAATTGGTTTCCAGTGAAGAGATGGTCTCACATCCAGAATGTGCACCAGTGCATTAAATCCTGAAACCCTTGAAATCTGGCAAGGTGTAAGCTTTATTCAATGAATGGAAAATTTTTTTAAGATTAACTTTAAACCTGCTCTGTTTCCTTCAAACAAAATTCAATCACTCAATTCCAGGAAAAACAGAGGTCAAAGCACTAGTTACATGATTGATCGGATTAACACAATTCACTTGAGAACAACCAACAATCTTCTGGTTGTCTAAGAATGTTAAGGGACTTGGTATGTGGATGACTAACAGAAACCAGGATTAGTGTTCAAACTCACTTCGGAACATTCCAGCTATTTTAACAAAAGGGAGTTGTTTGATGTCACCAAGCAGTATCACGTAATTTTGTCTTAAAGTTCTGAAACTCCTCCCTGCCAACACTGTGCACTTAGCTACACCATGTAGACTGCAGCTGTTCAAGAAAGCAGTTTGTCACCTTCTTGAGGACAATTTGGGATTGGCAATAAAAGCTGGCTTTACCCACATTCCAAGAAAAAAATTTAAAAGCAAATCTGTACCTGAGTTTCATCCAGCCTCCTTGAGAAACTTTCCTGCATGTTTTGTTCAATATGTACTGTGTATCCATGGACCCTTATTTCATTTTCCCTCCTTTCCTGAAAGGATTGATTTTTGCACTGATAGGAGCCTCACTACATGCCCATACTGAGGCTCACTTGAAGCTTTCTAAACACCATTCATGGAGCAAGGATTAGCTGTAAATTGGACTAATTTGCCTCTCCCCAATCTGTTGTTTCTGAGCACCCTTATCTTTCTCACTAGTAATTCATTTAATCATAATTTAAAGATTTTGCATTTAGAAGGTTAAATTATAAAGACAGATTGCATAGTACGGGCTTGCATTTAATTGTGAATAGAAGATTTTAAGGAATAATCTATCTGACATGTTTAAAATGTTAATATTGTTTGAGAGAAACATTTCTTCTGTGACGAATAAAGATGATGCCATATTTTGAGCTGGGGATGCCCAAAAAGTACTGCTACATACAGAATTTTGGATTCTGTGCCCCCCTCCCCCACCCCAACTCCAGAAGTCACTTGAGGGCTTTCAAGACACTGTTCAATGGTTATGGAGTTGAAACATATCATCCATTATCTAATCAAGCAGCAGATCAATGCTCAATGGGCTGAACGGTCTTGTCCTATACCAAAATCAGCATAGATTTGGATTTGGCAAGACCCCCTCAGAATTGTACTGAGTTTTGAGTTTTTTCTGGGGTGTGGGCTGTAGATTTTTACCTCTAACTGTGTGCATTCTGTTTTCCAGACCTGCTACAGATGTAAAACACGAAGAAAATGTACCAAGAAATTCACAATCCAGAAATTCCCAAAGATCCTTGTGCTTCGTATCCTTCTGTTTTCCACTACATACTTCTAAATCACTGGATTGATTTTTGTTTAGTATATTTGGTACTGATGTGGAATTGAGGGAATTGCTGGAAAAACAAACACATGTTGTGAAAGCTTTTCATCATGCAATCATCAAACTATTTCACAAGAATATTAATTCAGTGGGAAAGCAAACATTTATTCTGTTTGAAAGGATATTGCTGATTGTTTGGCAAGTGGACTTTGGTAGAGACATTGCCATGGAGAATGCACCATTAATGCTAATTGACAGTTAACAGCCAAGCTTTGTTTAAATTTTAAAGCAGGCAGGTTGACTGACTCTGGGAGGCACTGCCCTGAGAAATGAAGCAGCAAATATCTGTCACCCGTTTTGCTGAGTAGAAACAGGTGCAGTATGTTTGTGTTCTTGCTCTCGTCGAAGAACGGGGTCTTGTGTATTAATGTATTTTCCAGTACTGACAAGTGTGCCACATTGCAAGTCCAACTGACAATCCTAACTTGATTGTACGTGTAATTCTTTACACATTAATGATTATCCAGCAAATGTTATCCAATTGCAGAATTACATCTAGTCCTGGATACTTTTGAAGATTTTGGAAGTGTGAGCTGGTTGGGTTCAGTCAGTACCAGTTCTACTTGTTGCAAACTGTTGAAGTGCTGTGTTGTTTGACATGAGCTGCCAGTCTTTGAGATGTATGGCCTATATACCTAGCATCACAAAAGCACACTGAAATAACCACATTGCTCATTTCTGTGATGGTAGAATGTCTTATTTGGCTTGAAGTATCCAGTTAATGGCAAACACCACTCATGTTGCTACTGCAAAGTAATGGCACAGAATAGCTAGCAGCACATATGGCAAAAATCTTTTAAGATTCCCTACACTTCCAGGGTAATCTGAGGTAGACTGGGCACTCTTCAGGAGCAAGTATCACCATTTTCATGATTTTGTACATCATACACTGATCAGAATTTTTTTTTAAATGTAGCCATTATGCCTAAGGATTGCTTTGTGCTTTATTTCAACATTAAATTTTTATGGTGAACAACTTATAAGTCCTGTACAACCAAACAATTAGTACAAGGAATGTAGAGTCTGCGTGATAGTAATCTTGTGAGTAGAAGGTTGGTTAGCTAGCTAGTAGGATGCAGAGAGCAGGCATAAATGCTAATTGGCACAATGTAAAATGTGATGTGCCAAAGGGGCCTCAGCTATTTACTGTTTAAATGACTTGGATGAAGGGACAGAAGGTATAGTAGCTAAATTTGTTGATGACCCAAAGATGTGTAGGAAAGTAGATTGTGAAGAGGTCATAAGGAGGGTACAAAAGGTTATTCGTTAAGTGGACAAATGGATTATAATGTTGGAAAATGTGAAATAGTCTATTTGGCAGGAAAACTTTTTAAGAAAGCATTATCTAAGTGGTGAAAGATTGTATCTGAGAGCTCTAAAGCGTGATCTGGGTGTCCTGGTGCGTGTGAATGGCAAAAAGCTAATGTGCAGCTACAGCAAGTAATCAGGAAAGCTAATAGATCTTTTTTTTTGCACGGGGATTTGAATATAAATGCATGGAATTTGTGCTTCAGTTACACAGGGCATTGGTGACACCACAACTGGAGTACTGTGAATAATATTATTCATCTCACTTTAGATAGAATTTAACTGTGTTAGCAACAGCTCAGAGAAAATTTACCATACTATTAACTGGAATGGCTGGGTTATCTTCTGAGGAAAAGTTTTACAGGCCAGAATTGTATCCACTGGAGTATAAAGGAATAAAGAGGCAACTTAGTTGAAATGTATAAGATCCTATGACAGATACATGGAAAGGAGAGAATCTAGAATGAGCAGTCATTCCTACTTAAAATAATGGGTTTCCGATTCAAAACAGTCGAGTCAAAAATTTTTCTGAAGATTGAGAGTCTTTGGAACTCTTGTCCTGAAAAGTAGTGGAATCAAAGTCTTTGAATGTGTTTAAAGTTGAGGTGGTTAGATCCTTATGAAGCAAGAGGCTAACAGGTCATCAGGAGTAGGTCGGAATGTGGGTTTCAGATTACAATTCGATTAGCCTTGACCAAGCAGGCTCAGGGATCTATATGGCACACTATTGTACCTTAAATTCGCCTGACATTTCCCTGATTCCAGGTATCAGCTCATGGATGAGGTTGGCAATGGCCTGATGGCATTATCACTTCTCTGTTAATCCAGAGACCCTGGTAATGTTCTGAGGACCTGGGTTCGATTCCTGCCATGGCAGATGGTAGAAATTGAATTGAATAAAAACTAGAATTAAGAGTCTGATGACAACAAATCCATTGTCGATTGTCAGAAACACCCATCTGGTTCATTAATGTCCTTTAGGGAAGGAAACTGCTGTCCTTACCTGGTCTGGCCTATATGTGACTCCAGACCCACAGCAATGTGGTTAACTCATAACTGCCCTTAGGGGTGGCCTGTAAATGCTGGCCTAGCCAGTGATGCCCCAGCCTGTGAATGAATTTTAAAAGAATGCTCTGACTCCCAGACTGATCCCTGAGCAAAATTGTTCACTAAGTAAACTGAAGAGAGTGAGAGAGAGAAGAGCCTGCTCAAGATTCCATACAGCAATTGCTTGGTGTTGCTAAGTTGATTCCTGTGGTCATTTTCCTTTGTTCTTCAATTTGGCATCTCACTGAAACATAGAACCTGTAATTGGTTACAAGAAGGGGAAAAAAAATCTGTGAACCTTAACTCCAATGTTTTTGTAGATTTGAAGCGATTCTCCGAAGCTCGGATCCGCACCAGTAAACTCACTACTTTTGTAAATTTTCCTCTAAAGGACCTTGACCTTCAAGAGTTCTCATCGGAAAACTCTGGTGAGTAATGTAGGGGTACTTGAGATGATTTATGATATGTACAGAATCCATATCCAACATGCCTTTTGTCATCCTGGTATATTACAGTGCCAATTCTCCAGTAGGTTAGCCATGTCTCAGTCGGTTTGTGATCCTGACTGTTAAGATTCTAGGCTCAAGTGCCAAATTGAGGCTTGAGCACAAAAACAAAGGTTATCTCCTCTGACAGTACTGAAGGAATGCTGTATTGTTGATGATATCATCTTACCAGTGAGATGTTATACTGAGGTTCTAACTTAAACCATGTTACTACTTTGAAGAGTAGCACAGGAGCTCCTCCCCCCACCCTCATACAGAACATAGAACAGCACAGCACAGCACAGTACAGGCCCTTCAGCCCATGATGTTGTGCCGACCTATTATCCTCCTAAGATCAATCTACCCTGCATACCCTACATTTTACTATCATCCATGTACCTATCCAAGAATTGCTTAAATGTCCCTAATGTATCTGACTCCACTAACACTGCTGGCAGCGCATTCTACGTACCCACCACTCTCTGTGTAAAGAACCTACCTCTGACATCTCCCCTATACCTTCCCCCAACCACCTTAAAATTATGCCTCCTCGTAATAGTCATTTCCGCCCTGGGAAAAAGTCTCTGACTATTCACTGTATCTATGCCTCTCATCTTGTACACCTCTATCAAGTCACCTCTCATCCTCCTTCGCTTCAATGAAAAAAGCCCTAGCTCCCTCAGCCTTTCCTCATAAGACCTGCCCTCCAGTCCAGGCAGCATCCTGGTAAATCTCCTCTGCACCCTCTAAAGCTTCCACATCTTTCCTGTAATGAGGTGACCAGAACTGAACACAAAAACTGAACACAATATTCCAAGTGTGGTCTAACTAGAGTTTTATACAGCTGCAGCATAACCTTGTGGCTCTTAAACTCAATTCCCCTGCCAATGAAAGCCAACACACCGTACGCCTTCTTTACAACCCTATCAACTTGGGTAGCAACTTTGAGGGATCTATGGACGTGGACCCCAAGATCCCTCTGTTCCTCCACACTGCCGAGAATCCTGCCATTAACCCTGTATTCTACATTCAAATTCGACCTTCCAAAATGAATCACTTCACACTTTTTTCTGGGTTGAATTCCATTTGCCACTTCTTTGCCCAGCTCTGCATCCTGTCAATGTTCCGTTGCAACCTACAACAGCCCTCCACACTATCCACAACTCCACCAATCTTTGTGTCATCGGCAAACTTACTAACCCACCCTTCCACTTCCTCATCCAAGTCATTTATAAAGATCACAAAGAGCAGAGATCCCAGAACAGATCCCTGCGGAACACCACTGGTCACCGAGCTCCAGGCTGAATACTTTCCATCTACTACCACCCTCTGTCTTCTATTGGACAGCCAGTTTTATATCCAGACAGCCAAATTTCCCTGAATCCCATGCTTCCTTACTTTCCGAATGAGACTACCATGTGGAACCTAATCAAATGCCTTGATAAAATCCATATACACAACATCCACTGTTCTATCTTCTTTGATGTGTTTTGTCACATCCTCAAAGAATTCAATAAGGCTTGTGAGGCATGACCTGCCCCTCACAAAGCCATGCTGACTATTTCTAATCAAACTGTGCTTTTCCAAATAATCATAAATACCATCTGTCAGAATCCTCTCCAATAATTTGCCCAGCACAGAAGTAAGACTGACCAGCCTGTAATTCCCAGGATTATCCGTATTCCCTTTCTTGAACAAGGGAATGACATTTGCCACCCTCTAGTCATCTGGTACTGCAATGGACAGTGAAGACGCAAAGATCATTGCCAAAGGGGCAGCAATCTCTTTCCTTGCTTCCCATAGAAACCTTGGGTATATCCCGTCTGGCCCAGGGGACTTATCTATCCTCACGTTTTTCAAAATTTCTAGCACATCCTCCTTCCTAACATCAACCTGTTCGAGCATATCTGCCTGTTTCATGCTGTCCTCACAAACGTCAGGGTCTCTCACTGGTGATTACTGAAGCAAAGTATTCATTAAAGATCTCCCCTACCTCCTCTGACTCCACGTGCAAGTTCCCTCCACTGTCCCTGATTGGCCCTACCCTCACTCTGGCCATCCTCTTGTTCCTCACACAAGTATAGAAAGCCTTGGGGTTTTCCTTGATCCTACCCACCAAGGTTTTCTCATACCCCCTTCTAGCTCTTCTGAGTCCATTCGTCAGTTCCTTCCTGGCTACCTTGTAGGCCTGAAGAGCCCTGTCTGATCCTTGCTTCCTGAACCTTAAGTAAGCTTCCTTCATCCTCTTGACTACATGTTCCACATATCTTGTCATCCAAGGTTCCTTCACCTTACCATCCTTTCCTTGCCTCAGTGGGACACATCTATCCACTACTCTTAGCAAGTGCTCCCTAAACAACCTCCTCATTTCTATCGTGCATTTCCCTGAGAACATCTGATCCCAATTTATGCTCCACAGTTCTTGCCTAATAGCACTGTAATTCCCCCTCCCCCAATTAAATACTTTCCCATACCATCTGCTCCTATCCCTCTCCATGACTATAGTAAAAGTCAGGGAGTTGTGATCACTATCACTGAAATGGTCTCCCACCAAAAGATCTGACACCTGGCCTGGTTTGTTGCCAAGCACCAAATCCAATATGGCCTCCCCTCTAGTCGGCCTATCTACATATTGAATCAGAAATCCTTCCTGGACACACCTGACAAAATCTGTTCCATCCAAACCATTTGCACTTAGGAGGTTCCAGTCTATATTAGGGAAGTTGAAGTCACCCATGACAACAACCCTGTTACTTCTGCACCCTTCCACAATCTATCTCCCAATCTGCTCCTCAGTGTCTCTGTTGCTACTGGGGGGGTCTATAGAAAACTTCCAATAAAGTGACTGCTCCTTTTCCGTTTCTGACTTCCACCCACACTGAATCAGTGGACAAACCCTCCTCCATGACCTCCCTTTCTGCTGCTGTGATACCATCCCTGATTAGCAATGCCACTCCCCCACCTCTTTTACCTCCCTCCCTATTTCTTTTGAAACATCTATACCCCGGAATATCCAACAACCATTCCTGCCCCTGCGTTATCCAAGTCTCCGTAATGGCAACAACATCGTAGTTCCAAGTTCTGATTCATGCTCTAAGTATCTTGGCCAATATTTATCTTGCAATCCACAACACATCAGTAAGTTGTCATGCTTTCCACATTATAACAGTGACTAAACTTCTAAAAGTACTGCATTGCCCTTAAAGCCCCTTGAGATGTCCAGCGATCATGAAGAGTGTGATATAAATATGACTGTCTTCTCTTCAGGGTCACTGCTTTATTATCAAGTCCATCCAAGTGTATACTCGACACTCATGGTATTAGGAGTTGAAAACTCAGTGACAGAGCTAAATTTTCTCCCCATACTCCAGGCTCTAGGTCCCTTTCTGTCCCTGAACAACTTATAGATTTAGAAACATTAAACTGGTGACTTTAAACATGTTTCTTTGAAATGGACTGTTTGTGAACACTTGAGAGGTAAAGAGGCATTGAGATTAAAATTTCAGAGGAATAGTGGGAGAGGTTAGACCCAGACGTGTCCTAATTCATACCATTTGCAGATGGAAAATGGATAAATGTTTAATCAGGAGCATTAAAGGACAGGATTTAACTGTAAAGAGTCCTTCACTGCCGCATCATGGAATATTCTGACACAAACAGAAAATAAGTAAGGCTTCTCTCATAATTACTGGTTGGTATGAGAGAGACAATTTAAAAACACACTGAAAAAGTATTGTCTTTTTTTTTGGCAGCCCATGCAGTTTACAATCTGTATGCTGTTTCCAATCACTCGGGTACCACCATGGGTGGACATTACACTGCATACTGCAAGAACCCACAATCTGCTGAGTGGTACAACTATAATGACTCTAGGTGAGTTCCAGCAATGCTGCCTGTAGCCTAAAGTACTAATTTACTAAAATCACACATATTCAAGAAAGGACAAAGATGCACTGGAAACATTCCGAGAAGGCTCAGTCACCTGATTCCTAGCATGAGGGCTTTCCTATGAAGAAAGGTTGGTCCTGTATCCATTGGCATTTAGGAGAATCCAAGGTAATCTTATTGAAACACAAGATCCTGAAGGGACCTGATGGGGTGGGTGCTGAAAAGATGTTTCCCTTTGTAGGAGAGACTAGGACCAGGGGACATGGTTTGGATAGGGAAAAAAAAGTGGCCTCTCAGTTAAAAGGGGAGATGAAGAGAAACTTTTAAGGGTTGTGAATCCACACCAGTCTCTTTCCCAGAGAGTAATAGAGGCTGCGTCTCTGAGGTGAGTTGACTCCTTTTGTTAGTCAAGAACCTAAGGGTCAGTGAGAAAGTGATGTTACACCCATTCACGGATCAGCTGTGATCTTATTGAATGGTAGACTAGGCTTAAGGGGCCACAATAGCCTATTCCTGCTAATTTGTATATACATATGATTGTGCATTGCAAATTACACAAATATTTTTTGTTAGTCTGTGGTGGCCCTGAAAGCTGAGTGACTTGACAAGTGAAGGCAGAGGAAGGAGGCAATTCTGTTCAGTAATACTTCATAATTATTGTCCCTAGCTGGAGTGTGGAAAAGATCAGCCAGGACTCGTGACCCTGATTGAGTGTCCGTCCTCAAAAATGCGCATTTGGCAGGAAAAAAGTCTTGCTGCTACCTATATAATCACAAATGTGCATTTCTTTGAATGAAGAATTGCAGCATTCAATGAGCAGTCTCAAAGGAAAGCAGGGGAAGAAGGAAAAATGAAGCATAATTCATAAACGCTCCTTTTCTTTGCAGAGTAACTCCAATGTCATCAAACCAGATACGGACAAGTGACGCCTATGTACTATTTTACGAACTCTCCTGTCCTTCCTCTCGGATATAAGTCTTTGGATGTGAGAACAGGGGAAAGAAGAAGCAGCTTAAACTGTCTCAGCAAAGCCAACATTTTAAAGTGATCATCACGTATGTCCTTATGGTGCAACACAAAATCCTTGACGAGGAGTTCAACCAACCAATGGCCAGAACAACTGACTGCACCAGGACCAAGAGGGGAAAAGGAGGGAGGGACAACACAAAGGGCTCTCTTTCAGAAATTCAGGCGTCACCAGCCCTGAAGTCATTGACAGTTATTTTCCAAAGTACACACCAGCATCTGATGCAGGTGAACCTGGGTCAGATCCACACCTTGCTGATGAAATATTGCCTACAACAGTGAGCTGTTGGACCTGCAGGTTCTGCATCAGCATCTCTCCTCAACATTGTCTTGGAGTATGTTTATTTTCAATTGCAGAATTTTTCTTGCAAGTTTTTTTGAAACATTAAAACAACAGATTTGTTACATAGAGGGATAGAGATGATCTGTTGCTGTTTCAGATCCTCAGTTACAAAGGAATCTGGTTCAGGCTGTTTTTATTTAAATGTTTATTTAACTTTTTGGGATAGTGGCAGTGACTTGCCTAAATTCCTGCCACATATCTGGTTAGAACCATCAGTCTAAAGGGCAATGTTTCTGATTTCCCTAACTGTTCTCTTCAATAAGGAATTACCCCATTTCACTATCTCCATGGTGCCTGCAATATTAAATACTACTTTAAAAATTCACATTTTGGTAAATTTGAAATATAATTTCAGATTTAAAGAAACTAACCATTAGCTCTTAATTAACATTGATTTCCTGAATTGGTACTGTTCTTGACGACTGACAAGTAACATTTTACTTGCCTGAAATAATCAGCTTTATCTGAGTTACAGAGATGTGTCTGTGATTCCTATTTGTTAAACTATTAAATGGGGCTAAAGATATTGTGCAGCTAACAAAAACCTAGCATCTTACTGGCACAGAATCCTTTTATAACACTACCAGAGAAGGTCTGTGTTTTCAGATTCTAAGTGGCAATGACCTCATTGTGTTCACAGTCCTAGTTTTTTTTAAAAGTCCCCCGAGAGAATCTCTCAGATTCTGTGGATAATTGTGAAAACCATGGAGTTGATCAGTAGAGTTCAGGGAATTTGTTTCCTTTGTCTATCTTAGACCTACAGCTGGTTCTCTAGGAAGTGATCAATTAGTGCTGTGTTCCATCATGTTGTCTTGGTTCATTCCAACTTTTCCTTTTCTCTTTTGTTTGTTTTCCTCGTACCTTCCCTACTGCCTCCTTCCCTTACCTCCTCTATCATCGTTTCCTCCAGGACACTGCATCTTCTAGAGATCATTTCTCACTTTGCTTCCTCACTTTATACGTACGTTTTGTTTTTGAAAGACTGTTTGGGGAAAGGAGTTAAACTTAAAGACATAGTGTTAATTGTAATTTTTTCAATGTTTTGGACGTTTCAACTTCACAACTAAAACAGGTAGATTGCTTGACCATAAAGTGAATCCTTTTGGCCTTTGTTGATATCCCAACCCCCATTTTTCGCCATTACACAGCTCCTCTGCTGTACTCAATGCAGAGTCAAGCTCTGGAGAAGGGGATATGGAGTCAGAAGTTCAACAATCAGGCATTATTAGCACAGCGATTGTCTACTTAAATTTTAAAAGATCCTGCAGGGATTTTTATTGTGACAGAGCTGCATGAGATGAGCAGTATATACATCTACAAACCTGTATTTTCTGCTATAACAAAATGGTTTCCAGGGGGAAACATCAATAAGGTCATATTTTATAGGTTCAAATAATAGGATTCTAACATTTTGTCTGCTGTTAACTTTGCCTCCAGATCCTCTCTGCTTTGACATTGAAAGTATAACTTTTGATCTGAGATACAAAATCATATGGAATTGAAGAGATTAGTTTTAGCTTTAAAGGATTGTAGAGCACGTGACCCTGGAGCATTTTCAAACATTGTATTATTTGGGTTTGTTTGTTTGTTGTTCTCTCTCTGCCCAAGATGTAACTGGGTAACTTCTGAAAAGCACACACTGTCCATTGTTCTCGTTGGCATCTGTTTGAGCCAGTCACTCTGTTGATATCATTATTTCACTAAGGATGGGCTTTGGAGGAAAAATACAAACCGGTGGAGGAGTCCGTATCTTCTGTTTACAACAGTGTACCTCTTTCATCTCGCTCTCAGCCTTTACTCCACATCCTTTAATTGCCCTGCATTTTAAATAGCTGTGTAAAGATGATCGATCCTCAAACAGTGACCATCTCAGGCAGTGCCCTGTCTTCTCTGATCAGCTGTATGAAAATATTTTCTGGATGTTCTTTTAACTGGCCTGTTCCAGTCCATTCCACTCCCTTTGTATTCCCCTCCAACACTTCAAACCAGTAATGCTGCTTTCTCCAGTGCAGTATAATTGCTCTGTTCAGATACTCCCTGGCTAACCGTCTAAAGATGATCTTGGTGGGAAGGGGCTTGGCACATGTTTCATAAATGCACAGTTCATCTTTTACTCACCTATACTCCCATCTGCACTCCCAAAACCCATTGTTCTTTAGGGCTTTTTAATTTTGTCTTATTTAAAAGAAACTCTCGTTTTAACATGTTAATTTTAAATTCTAAACTAATGCATGGAGACGTGATGACTGTTCTATTTTGATATGTAGTGAGTTTATGGATGTATCTTGTTTACTGTGTAAACAAGCAATGGATATATTTTATATTATGTACTGAGGCATTGTACATAAGAAATTTTAACTAAATAGATATCTATAGTATATATATAGAATAACATCTGTGTGTATGCACGCACAGTATAAATATACATAAACCTATGCCTTGAAATGACAGCCTGGTGAGCAAGTACAAAGCAATGGTCTTTGATCTTTTTGTACAGCCTGGAATCCTGTTTTGGAGTATTGTCTAATTTATATAAGGAATGTTTTGTTCTCTCTGGTTGTAGAACTGACCATATTCATAACTGTAAGTGTGAAGATCCCGGGGAATAGTCTGGTTGGTTTGATTTTTCTGTACAGTGTGTTTTTATTTTTTAATGTCCCTTTACTCTGATTCTTCCCCCTAAGATCAACCCAGTTTGGAGAACATGCCCATTTGTTTTGGACTAAATATATCCAGTTTTGTTCTTGTGACCAGTTCCCAACTTGTCCTTGTATCACATGCCCTGGCTCTTTTAATTGTGCAATGATCATTTAGAGAAGTGGAAAGCCTGGGTTCCTCTCAGGTGCAGCCTTGTTAATCAGGCAGAGGAATTCTGACCCTTCTGCAATAACACACATGACAATATTCAATAAGCTGAACCATTGTGAGAAGGATATTAAAAATTCTTACATGGAATGTGAGTGCTGCTGGTAAAGCCAGTTTTGTTTCAACCCTTTCTCAACACTTGGGGATGGGCTGAGTCACTTGTTGAGTCATCACAATACGTCTGGTGTAGTGACACTCAAAGTTCTCCTAGGACAGAATCCCAAGGAATGTCCGTGTTTAAACAAAGTGAATTTGATTTGTCTGTATTCAATTAAATGCTTTCACCAGCTCAAACTCTTGATCAGGATCTTTCCTCTCAGTCTGGAGAATTTCACAGCCTCCCTCCTCCTGCCTGGGGAGGGAGGGTGAGCAGAAGACTGATGCTAATTCTCTGTCCTGGTGGATTATAAAGTAACAAGCTCTTTAGCCTGTGGCAAAGTGGGTTGGGGGTTGGGGGTTGGGGGGTGGGGGATGGGGGGGAGGAGAAGAGAGGGAAAGGATAGGAAGAACCTGAGGGTACAATGTGGAACTTGCAATGATGCTAAGGAGCCATGGGCACACAAGTTATACTCAATATTGCAAAACTGGTGCAAGTTCTCTGGAGTAGGAGGTTCCTCGCACTCTGCCCAAACTCCTCCTTCACTGTTGGTATTAATTTCTTGTATTGTTTTATTTTAACTGGAATGTTCTGGAAAAAAAAAACAAAATTGAAAACTGACTCTGCACTTTGTTATTGCTGCGGGACCAGCGCTTTCTGCAGGGCTGCTCAGTGGGTATAATGCATCACCGTGGTTCACTGAAGGGTGTACGCATGCACCTTTTTTTTTTAAAAAACTACTTTTGAAAGAATAAAAACACTGTGAATATTAAAATAACGTTGCCTGCCATTCCCTTGGTTTGGATGTGATTGTCAACTCTTCTGGGAGGTACTGCTGGAGGCTTGTATCCCATTATATAATCATCATGTGATAAAGGCAAATGTGACATGGCTAGTTGTTAGAATTATCATCTACTCCTGATGAAAGAATCTGGTTGGAACTGCATTCCCTGTGAAGGTTACAACTCTGTTTTACAACCCTTCAGTCATGATGTTCTGTACTGGATCTCAAAAGAAGCAACCCAGTCAGTAGGAACTGAAATGAACCAACCAGAGATTGGAAAGAGGGCAGTGGGTCAGTGATTGAGGTACTTCATACGTGGAGTTCCATGGGCGTTGTGGGCTCTGATTCTCTCTGACAGACCGTTCTCTTTTCTGAGCTGTTCTAGGGCAAATCCAGTTGGGTTACATCAATAACATTACTGAAGTAATGTTTTATTAAATATTTGCTATTTTTCCACAAATGCTTTATTTTCAAAAGCACTAGGGGATTAATAGAATAAATTACATGATCTCTGCTTTACAGATTTCCAGTCAGCAAACTGGAGCCCGGTGTCTGGTCTCTGATCTCTGAGATCAGCCTCATTCAAAGGAAACCAGATATCTCCCCAAGTAACTGGCAATAAAAATCTGTCCCTCTCTCTCCTGAGGTAGTAACATGCTACAGGATAGTTCTGGTAACAATTTCAACCAAATATCTTGTCCATGTGGGTTTCTGCCAGGTGCTCTGGTTTCCTCCCACAGTCCAAAGATGTGCAGGTTAGGTGGGTTAGCCATGGGAAATGCAGGGTTACAGGAGTGGTTGGGTCTGAGTGGGATGCACTTCAGAGGGTTGGTGTAGACGCAATGGGCCAAATGACCTCTCTGATATTCTCTTACTTGGTTCCCTTGATAGCACATACTTAACTAGTCAACTGTGACAGCGTCACTGAGTGTGAACATATTCTGAGCTGATTGCTGTATGGGGACTGCAAATTGAACATTGGAATTTCTCTGAAATTATGTAGTCCTCGTGTACATTTGCCAGAGTATTTAGTTCAAATCTATTCATATTTCCTGTTTGTAGAAACAAACCAAAAAGGCAGCAAATAACCTGTGGACTATCAGTTTCTGCAAATGAGGATTCATGTTTTGGATACAGACCTGAGCTCTGAAAGATTAGAGATAGTAAGAACTACCAATGCTGGAGTCCAAGATAATGCAGTGTGGAGCTGGAGGAACACAGCAGACCAGGCAGCATCAGAGGAGCAGGAAAGCTGACATTTCGAGGACTGGTCTGCCTTTTGTTCTTTTTGACTGATTTCTAATTTTACCTTTGTATTCCTGCATCCAAATCTGCATATCACTGCCCCAACCCCAAAATCCTGTCTACATGTAACAGACATAGTCCCAGGAGTGCATATCCATGGAAGTAGAAAGAGAGAAAGTCTCATAGTACTCAAAATCCAGAGGAGACTTTACTGCAATTAATTGAGGATCCTATTTGATAATTTGAACTTCTGTTAATTAAACAGAAACCTTGGAATTATTTCCAGTTCAAATATCAGCTTAGAAAGAGGAATGTGCATGCAATAGTAGTTAACATGATTAATCCTGGTTATTAAAAAAATATTGGGAATTTGAAATAAAACACATTTCTTAGGGTCTTGTGGAATGTTGGTAATGTCCCTACTTCTGGGCCAGAAGGACTAGCTACGGGTCGCACCCACACCAGACATGTGTCATAAGCACATCTGAATAGGTTGTGTAAAATATAGTGATACTCCATTGCAGCGATGTGATTCTCAATGTGCTGGGACATAGTACAGGTAAAGCCCAGTGAGCTGATCAGCCCTTATCGGAAAATCAGTCACTGGTACAGACATGTAAGTGTGCCTTGGTCCTAGTCCTAGCTTAGATAAATGGGAAAGGTTAGTAGCAGTAAGGGGATCCAACTGTAAAGCCACTCACCAAATCTCCACCAAAAAATTATGGTTGACATGATGGTGACCAACCAGCATGATGGTGATTTCATGTAACAGGCAAATCCAAAAGGAAAGGAGGCGACAGAGTGAAACTAGAGAACTCGTGTAGACATTAATTACACTTTCCAACATATTTGTAATATTTAACTATTTCAATGAGACTAAAAGAATAAGCCCCATGTTCTCAACGCTGTGTAATACCTACTGCAAACATCTCCAGTCTGTGCGTGAGCAGAACCCTGATCTTCCTGTGGCTGGTCATTTTAACACAGCATCCTGCTCACATGTCCCCTTGTTTGTCCTCAACATGCTGCAGTGCTCCAGTGAATCACAGTGCAAACTGGAGGAACAACATCATTTCTGATGAAGGGTCTAGGCCCGAAACGTCAGCCTTTCTGCTCCTATGATGCTGCTTAGCTGCTGTGTTCATCCAGCTCTACACCTTGTTGTCTCATCTTCAGACTAGGCACTTTACAGCCTTCTGGACTAAATATTGAGTTCAACACCTTCAAGTCGTGAACCATTTCTTCCTTCTAGCTTGTAATGTGTAATGTGTCCTCCACCGCTTCCCCCACACCTTCCCATTTACTGCCCTTTCAAGTCTGGCAGGAGACACACCATTGTTCTGCCATTCTCACATTCCGATCACTTAATCTGAACTATCAACATCTTGTCTCCACCAGCACCCTACATGCCCTACCCTCATTCCCCGCTTCCCCCCCCCCCCCCCCCCCACAAAGTATAGGATAAATGCAAACCCCTGCACACTTCACTTCAGCTCTTGAAACGTTAGCTTGCTCATTCATCACGGATGCTGTGTGACCCACTGTGATCGCCAGCATTTTTTGTTAGCAATACAGATTCCAGCATCTGCAGTAACTTATTCCTACACTGTGTAATAACTATGCTGAGATTAAGGCACGTGTTTATTTTAGGAATTTTATACAGTAAGGAATCCCTAGTATAATAGAAAAAACTGGATTAAGAATTCTTGAGATTTCAGCATGGGGATTAGTTGTACCCCCACCTCTAATCTTTTGGATGCTGTGCATCCTTTCAGAACTGAGAAGTAAACTTGTTCTGTAGCAGAGCCAGAATCGGGAGATCAGAAATTGTTCACACTTCAGCCTGACAGAGAATTCCAATCAGTGCTTATTATGTGGGTCAATCCCTCAGCCAATTCCCTGGTACTCCCTCCTCACTCCATTTGCTCTTTCCTCCTTTGCTTCCCCGTCAGCTCATCTAATTCCTGCTTTTTATAATCAAATGGAATCACACTTCACTCAATGTCAGACCACACCAAACATTTTGGTTGCAGCTTCTGGGCAAAAACAGAAGTTGCTGGAAAAGCTCAGCAGATCTGGCAGCATCTGTGAAGGGAAAAACAGAGTTAACATTTCGGGTCCGGTGACTCTTCCTCAGAAAGCTGGGAAAACGTCAGTTTATATGCAGAGAAAAGGGGAGAGGGGTGGAGTAGGGAGTAAACAATAGGATAGAGCCTAAAGAGAGAGAAAAGCAGTTGGACAGACAAACAGTTGATAACAATTAGGCTGGGAGGGTGAATACTTGTTAATGGGGCCTATTAATGACTAATAACAGGTAGTGTGTAATAGCAGGCTGTGTGGTAACAGTTTCTGGGCATATTCCTCATAGGCCTAAAGTGAAAGTTTTAGAATGGTGAGCACACATTTGTATAAATGTAGTAGAATACATCACATCAAATCATGCTGTAGGATTCAACCATTTAAGTATTGGAGCTGTGCTGAGTTCTGAGCTGTGCATCCCCCTCGCTCTGATTCTTTTTCACTCCTGCTGTAGCAACTCCTATCAAACATCGCTCAGATTAAAGTAAAACTTCAAGCTATTCAAAAAGGGAGAACAATAAATCCCAAAGTATTTAGCTGCAGTGTCACATGTGACTGGGATAGAGATCAAGTGAGGCAGCTGCTTGAAACAATCTCACAGAATGTAGAGTTCAGGAGTAATTGACATGCTGTAAACTTCAAACATGAGAATCTTTCTGCCATGGGCTAGAATCTTTTAGTTTTATCATTAAATGTGTTGAATTGTAATCTTCGAACTGACGCCAGCAAAAGAGCACCCGACCCAGGATTTTAATCTGTTTGAAAACCTGTGAGTACTGCAGACCAATCATTAAAATTTAATAGAAAGTGGCGAGTTGAGAAAATGAGATGTATACGCAGCGAAGAAAGAGGATGAGAAGGAGAGGGGCTACAGAGGAAGAGAAAATCATGCACAGAGCAAAGACGTAAGGCACAAGACAAAGCGAGCGAGGGAGAAAAGAGCAGAGACTTGGAGTAAGACACAGAGGAGTGCAGCTAGAGAGGTACAGGGAGCAAGATGGTAGAAACATATAAAAGAAGAGAGTAGCGAGAGACTCAGGTAGAGACAGGAACAGTGTAAGGAAGTCAGATGGAGAGAGTAATAGAGATAGAGGTACAGAAATATTTTGAGTCTCTGGAGGTTGCAGAGGGAACAGACAAAGGGGTGACAGCAAAAAGAAACATTTGAGGTTGTAGACTTGCTCGCTGAGCCGGTGTGTTTGATTGCAGACGTTTTGTCTCCCTGCTAGGTAACATCATCAGTGCACATCCGGTGAAGCGTTGGTGTTCTGTCCCGCTTGTTATTTATATGCCTCGGTTTGCTGGGGTGGTTGGCATTACTTCCAGTTCTGTTTTTCAGTGGTTTGTATATCGGGTCCAGTTCAATGTGTTTGTTGAAGGAGTTCCGGTTGGAATGCCAGGCCTCCAGAAATTCCCTGGCATGTCTCTGTTTGGCTCATGCTGTTAAGGATGTGTTGTCCCAGTCGAATTCATGTCCTTCTTTTTCCATGTGGATTGAGACGAGTGAGAATTGGTCATATCTCTTGGTGGCTAGTTTGTATTCATGTATCCTTATTGTCAGTTTTCTTCCAGTTAGGCCCATGTAATGTTTCTCACTGTCCTTGCACGGTATCTTGTATATTGCATTAGTTTTATTGGTTGTGGGTATGGGATCCTTTACATTAATCAGTAGCTGTTGCAGGGTGGTTGTTTGTTTGTGGGCTACCCTGATATCTAGGGGTCTGAGTAGACTTGTGGACATCTCTGATATGTCTCTGATGTACAGTAGGGTGACTATTGTGTCTGGCCGTGTTGTGTCTTCTTGTTGTGGTCTGTCACGGACGTAACAATGCATTGTGCTCTGTGGGTATCCATCCCTTTTAAAAACTCCGCATAAGTGTTCCTGTTCTGCTTTATGTAATTCCAGGTTGCTGCAGTGTGTTGTGGCTCATTTGAATAATGTCCTGATGCAGCTCTGTTTATGGGTGTTGGGATGGTTGCTGGTGTAATTAAGTATCTGGTCCATATGCATGGTCTTTCTATACACGCTGGTCTGCAGTTCCCCGTTGATCTTACATTCTACCATTATGTCTAGGAAGGGTAGTCAGTTATTGTTCTCTTCTTCTTCTGTAAATTTTATTCTGGTGGGGATGTTGTTTATGTGTCGGTGGGTTTCTTCTAATCTTGTGTGTTTGATAATCACAAAGGTGTCATCTACATAGCGGACCCAGAGTGGGGAGCGCTATCCGTTCTAACCTTTGCATTACCACCATTGCTATCAGTCCTGATATCGGGGATCCCATTGGTGTTCTGTTGATTTGTTTGAATATACAGTTGTTGAAGGTGAAGTGGGTTGTGAGGCGCAAATCCCGTAGTTTCAGGGTGCTGTCATTGTTGATGTTGTTGGTGTCGTGCGGTGCCTGCCTTCCTGATTCGTCCAGCAGTGTGGCAGTTGTCTCTTTGGCGAGGTCGATGTTTATGGATGTAAATAGTGCTATTATATCAAAGGAGATCATTATCTTGTCCTCTTCTATCCTGGTGTCCTTGATGATGTTGAGGAATTCTTGGGAGGAGTGGATGGAGTGGGTAGTGTTGTCAACTAAGTATTTCAGTTTTCTTTGTAGTGCTTTGGCTAATCTATATGTTGGTCTGCCTGGTAGTGAAATAGTGGGTCGGAGAGGGACCCCTGGCCTGCATACCTTGGGGAGTCCATAGAAGCGGGATGTGTTGGATCCCTCTGGCTTCATTTTTTTGGCAGTGTGTCATGCTGATATCTCCTGAGTCGTGTAATTTCTTCAGGGTTGTTTTGATCTGGTTCTCTAACTGTGGTGTCAGGTCTATCGCCATCTGTTGGTAGGTGTTGGTATCTGCTAGTAGTGTGTGAACTTTCTTGATGTATTGGGTTCTGTTAAGGATTACTGTCATGTGTCTTTTGTCCATCAATAAGATTACGATGTTTCTGTCTTTCTTGAGTTTTTCCAGGGCTTTCTTCACTTCTGTGTTGAATGTGTTCCACTTACCTTTTCTGCTCAGTGTTGGGACTATCATCTGTCTGATGGTCTGTTGTATTTCCTCAGTGACACCTTTGTAATTATCAAACACACAAGATTAGAAGAAATCCACCGACACATAAACAACATCCCCACCAGAATAAAATTCACAGAAGAAGAAGAGAACAATAACTGACTACCCTTCCTAGACATAATGGTGGAATGTAAGATCAACGGGGAACTGCAGACCAGCGTGTACAGAAAGACCATGCATATGGACCAGATACTTAATTACACCAGCAACCATCCCAACACCCATAAACAGAGCTGCATCAGGACATTATTCAAATGAGCCACAACACACTGCAGCAACCCAGAATTGCACAAAACAGAACAGGAACACTTATATGGAGTTTTTAAAAGGAATGGATACCCAAAAAGCGTTACCTCTGCAACAGACCACAACAAGAAGACACAACACGGCCAGACACAATAGTCACCCTACTGTACATCAGAGACATATCAGAGATGGCCACAAGACTACTCAGACCCCTAGGTATCAGCGTAGCCCACAAACCAACAACCACCCTGCAAAAGCTGACAAAACACATACCAATAAAACTAATGCAATATACAAGATACCGTGTAAGGACTGTGGGAAACGTTACATGGGCCTAACTGGAAGAAAACGGACAATAAGGATACATGAATACAAACTAGCCACCAAGAGATATGACCAATTCTCACTCGTCTCAATCCACATGGAGATGAATTTGACTGGGACAACACATCCATAACACCATGAGCCAAACAGAGACATGCCAGAGAATTTCCGGAGGCCTGGCATTCCAACCGGAACTCCATCAACAAACACATTGAACTGGACCCAGTATACAAACCACTGAAAAACAGAACTGGAAGTAATGCCAACCACCCCAGCAAACCGAGGCATATAAATAACAAGCGGGACAGAACACCAACGCTTCACCGGAGGTGCACTGATGATGTTACCTAGCAGGGCGATGAAACGTCTGTAATCAAACACACCGGCTCAGCGAGCAAGTCTACAACTTCATCCACAACCCAAGCTACAAATCTTCTCAAACACTTTAAAAATAAATTTTTTTTAAAAATATGGCAATTAGGACAAAGACAGAATAAAGTAATATTCAGATTAAATTTGTATTAAGATAGAGGAACATAATGTGATTATATGTAATCGATTATCTTGAAGATGAATAACAAGATGAAATATCCTTTCTTTGGGAAAACTGTAGTCTAGTCAGAAAATGCAATCAATTTTCGGTAAAATTCTTTAGTTGATTTTTACCATCAGTTGGTGTTTCTTCAAATATGAGAGAGAAGATGGAATTCACAGAAATCATTTTGGAAGACCACAGGAGAGAGGAGAGTAAGGTAAGAACAAAATAAAATGCTGGGTGATAATCTCAGATGTTTGAAGTGTGGAATCCCCTTCATAAAGTATTAATTGTTAGAAGGATTAGAACAAGCCCCAGTAAGAATGGAAAATTTAAGTGAATTGGCTCAAAATAAGAGCTGCCATGTCCATGCGGATATCCCTGGTGTCTCCCCCTCATTTCCCCACCATCACCCAAATCATGCTTCAGGGAAAGTGGTCCAGGAGTTGTGATGGGGCCAGGGAACCAGTACACAGGCTGGCAGTGTGAAAATCCTTGCCATCAACCTCTGTTTCTGCCTCAATGGAGATTAAATATCCAGCCCAATATTTCAGGCCCCACTTGAAGTTTGTATTGCTCTCTGTCAAATCTTTCATTGCCTGAATGTCATTTTTTTCTCCATTTACAGGTCCAACCCTATAGACAACCTGTGTTTACCCCCACTCCCAAACCCAATCCCAATGGTCAGTCTTTAAAATATCCATCTCGAGAGACTGAGGGCCACTAAGATGTTCAATATGGAATTGTCCGCAACCAAGTCCATTTCTGTCTTGCCTTCAACATTCACACAAATCAAATACTGGTCAGAACATGCACGCTGGCTAATTAACTCCACCCATAAACCCAGGTTATGGTCCAACAGGTTTATTTGAAATCACCAGCTTTTATGGCATAGCCCCTTCATCAGGTGAAGTGAGAGAAAGTGCACACAGATACAGAATTTATAGGCAGAGAGATCAAAAGATCATACAAATGGTGTGAGTGGAATGTCGAATAATAAGTCTCTGCAGGTGATCAAAAGTGTCAGACAGTGTGAGTAAAGTGTCAACAGATGAATAACGAGCGAAGCAATGATCTTTAATCCAATTAATTGAGGCAGAGAGATAATTACAAAAAATTTAAAAATAAGGTGGTGCTGGAGACAAACTAAATAGTGGGGAGGTGATGGCCTGGAGATATATCGCTGGACTGTTAATCTGGAGACCCAGATAACATTCTGGGGACCTGGGTTCGAATCCCTCCACGGCAGATGGTGGAATTTGAATTCAATTGATATCTGGAATTAAGAGTATAATGTTGACTGTGAATCCATTGTCAGAAAAACCCATCTGGTTCACTAATGTCCTTTAGGGAAGGAAACTGCCATCCTTACCTGGTCTGGCCTACATGTGACTCCAGACCCACAGCAACGTGGTTGACCCTTAACTGCCCTGTGGTCAATTAGGGATGGGCAATAAATGCTGCCTAGCCAGCGATGCCCTCATCCCGTGAATGAATAAAGAACAACATGATAGGTATAAGAGTCACATGCCAAGGTCTAACCAAAGTAACAAGTAAAGCAAAACTGTACAAACTAATTAAGGTTGAGGGATCATAATTTATCAAGGTGATGGTGCCAAAACAGGAGAGTAAGGAAGATTTTACAGATACAGAACTGTGTGGTAGGGCCATGTGTAGCGCGACATGAACAAATATTGACACTTTACTCACACTGTCTGACACTTCTGAACAGCTGCAGACACTTGTTACTCGACACTCCACTCACACCATTTGTATGATCCTTTGATCTCTCTGCCTATAAATTCCGTATCTGTGCCAATCTCTCACGTCACCTGACAAAGGGGCTATGCTCCAAAAGCTGGTGATTTCAAATAAACCTGTTGGACTCGTGTGACTTCTGACTTTGTCCACCCCAATCCAAAACGAACACCTCCACATTGTTCCATCCATAAGCTGACGATGCTGATTATGCATCCTAGTCGAAGTTCTATTCCCCTCACCATCACCCTGGGACCCTCTGGAATACCACAGCACACATTAAGATTAAAACAGAGGAACATTTTGAAATAGATTTCAAGACTAAGGGACACATTTTTAAGATGAGAGGAGACAGATTTAAAAAAGAGATAAGTGGCAAATTTTTTACACAGAAGGTGGTTTGCATGTGGAATGAACTTCTTGAGGAAGTGGTGGATGCAGGTACAATTACAATGTTTAAAAGACATTTGGAAAAGCACATGAATAGGAAAGGTTTGGAGGAATATGGGCCAGGAACAGGCAGGTGGGACTAATTTATTTCGGAATTATGTTCATCATGGATTGGTTGGACTGAAGTGTTTGCTTTCATGCTGTATGACTCTATGACTCTAAGAGAAAATGAATTGAATTAAACATTTTGTTTCCAGACAGATTTTGTTAACCCAGCCTACCAGCCTGACAATACAATCGAAGAACAAGAGGATCAAGAACCTGGAAAACATGTGAAAGCTAATCCACTGAATAGATCAGGTATGAATAGCACGGAACTCAAACCTCAGTTCATCAACGACCATCAATCATCCCCACTCCGACCCCTCACCACTCTGTGGGAATCTGGTGCTAAGGAGAGGGAGTGGGGGAGGGAGGGATGGAGAAAAGATGAAAATGAGGAGACAGTTGGAAAGGGGCTAAGGGAAAGGTGGTTAGGAAAAGGTGGCAAGGAATTTGGGAGAGAATGACAAGTAGGGAGTGAGGAGGAAATGTGGGTAGGAAGACAGTGAAGAAATGGCTAGGTCACTAGGAGTCACTAGAGCACAGTCACATAACCTGCTGCTTGCCTTGCAGGACAACAATGTAATTACACAGAGATAGCAGGAACTGCAGATGCTGGAGAATCTGAGATAACAAGGTGTAGAGCTGGATGAATACAGCAGGCCAAGCAGCATCAGAGGAGCAGAAAGGCTGATGTTTCGGGCCTAGACCCTTCTTCAGAAATGGGGGAAGGGAAGGGGGTTCTGAAATAAATAGGGAGAGAGGGGGAGGCAGATAGAAGATGGATAGAGGAGAAGATAGGTGGAGAGGAGACAGACAGGTCAAAGAGGCGGGGATGGAGCCAGTAGAGGTGAGTGTAGGTGGGGAGGTAGGGAGGGGATAGGTCAGTCCAGGGAGGACGGACAGGTCAAGGGGGCAGGATGAGGTTAGTAGGTAGGAGATGGGGGTG